CCGGTCCTGCGCTCCGCTGGCGAGGCCGCCGCGGTTTCGGCGTGGCACCGTCGGGCCCGCCCGCGAGGGGAGTTGGCGGTCGCGGGCCCGGTGCTAACCGCCGCGGGAGGTGCCGCTGCCGCCGTGACACTTCTGCCGTTTGCGGTGCGGCTCCTTCAGCAGCGCCTGTGCCGCCGCCGCCGCTGCCAGCCCTGAGAGGTGGGGGGAGAAACAAACCATGAAGAAAAAGTTGGAGGGGAGTAGCTGTGCGACCCCCAGCTGGTTGGGGTGGGGTGGCTTTTCCTACCGACCTCGGCGGCCGCAGCTTCCCTGTCGTGAGAACAAAACGGAGCAAGGAGAAGCAGTTACTGCTGCAACTTTAAATAAATTTTAGACGCTGAAAGTGCTAAAATATGCCGTGATTTTTTTTCAGTGCGGCCGCTGGACGGGATCTCGGTTTCGCCAGGTACAAGTTTGCAAAGTCTAAGACTGTTCTTACAAGGATGAGAGTTTCAAAGGGTAATGGTACAGTAAAGTTGAAAATCCCCAACTAAAGCATTTTAAACGTGCTCTTTCCCGGGCACATCCCCTGCTCAGCCTGTGTGCTTTTCAGTGCCGCACTACAGACTGTCAGTACTGTCTCCGTTCCAAGCTGTGGCCTTTCGTAAACTGATGTCTGCTCTTGCGGTTGGCAGAAGTGTGTGCTGCTGTGGCTAACGGGACGCTACTCGGTGACATGACACCACACCACAATACGTGAATCTTGTTCCTTACGTGGTGTGTTGCTTGCTCTGCTTCTCAGCTGTTGCTGGCTGAAGTCCCTGCGTCTTCCCTGAAGCCCTAACCCTTTTGATTACAGCACACATTTGTCAGTGGCATCTGTGGCCACCCCATGGCTGTACAGCTGCTTCCCAACTGGCATGCTCGCTCCTCAGACTTTTTAGGCTGGCTCCTTTCCCCAACCCCATGGAGATTACCCTTCCTGGCTCTGCTGTCCTAGGATTTACTGTGACTGCCCATCACCCCCTGCTTTTTTCCCTTGACAACCAGTTCCCAGGCTGCTGGCTCCAAGCTGTTCTTGCATTCCTACAGCATCCCCCTCTCCAAGGGTCCGCCACCTGGGCCTGATGCTCTCTGTTACCAGAATGGCACTGCTTCTGCCCTGTCTCTTCAGATTATACAGGACCCTGAGTTGATGTGATGTTAATTTGGCTTGCTCTCCTCTCCAGAAAATGTCTCTGGCCCAGTCCTTGCACTGTAGGTCATGCTAAGGAAGGAGGAGTGATGCCAGCATATCCGTTAGGCTGTTTGTGTTTCTAACCATTATTTCACTCATACACCATGGTATCTGGGTCCATTTTCTGGACTAGTAGGTTGGGGGTTTTTTCTGTCTCCCACACACTTTATCATCATCTTCACTATCATACTTGTAGGAAACCAAAAGCAAAAAAAGAAAGGGTTGAAGAAACCTGTTTTTTCTAAAGATGATATGCTTCATGGTAATTCATGGTTATTACTGTATTACCTTGGAGTGAACTCACAGGATAACTGTCATAATAGCTGTGTGCCCAAACTGATACTATTTCTAGTTACTACAAAAGACAACAAAGAATCCTAGGAATGAAGAATGCAAGACAGCCATGGCCAAATCAGCATGTAATCAGAAGGTGCTATCTCCTAGCTGGTTGCAAATAGAATTACAAGGACTTACTTCTTTACCAGAAGTATATACTTGGCTCTGGAGAACTGGTGAGCTGTCTGAAAGTGCCCCAAGGCTGCAGGCATCTTCAGCAACTGGAAGGCAAACAAGTTCTGATGAAATACTCTGAACACTGGGAATTCCACAAAATATTTTTCTTTACCCACAAGTATAACTTGCTCTCATCCTCTGGTTACCCAACCACTGCTTATAAAATATTTCACATTGGGGTGTCTCGGTGATCACAGCATTTGAGACAATGTGGGTTAGATGTCAGCCACATAAATACTGCTTTTAAGATCTTAATGTTCCATCGTGTTCTCCCACATTTTCAGGTTGGTTTTTCAGCAGAGGAAAAAAAATAGGCTTGTGGGATGCCACAGGTGAGGGACCTTAAAATGAAAGGAGTAATTTCCTATTCTATTTCCCAAAATGGTCCAAATCAAATATGTGAAATTTTTTAGTATATTCCTATTTCCATGCAAAATACGGAAGAACAGTGTTTGTAGTTCAACTGTATCAGTTTTTAGAGGAAGATATAAGATCATTCATTCATAGTAACTAAAACCATCTCCTTTGATAATTTTGTCTGACGAGTATATTAAATCCATTTATTCCCCTTTGTGACGATTTTTCATTCATATGTTTAACATTTTGGACTTCTGCATTCATAAATAGCAACAGATCTAAAGAAACATTGAAAAAAGAGTCCACAGCTCCACTTTTTTTACCATGCAAATGGCAATTCACACTCAAAATCAACATTTAAATAATGGCACAGATGCATACAAGCAGGGAAATAGAGAGCTACAATGGAAATGTGCCACATGTCTCAGAACACATAACCACAACAGGGTGTCTCTTTTATGACTTTCTTAATGCACTGCAATATGCCTAGATATCAAAGGACATATGGTATATTTTCTCTTTAATTGCACATTTCTTTGCTCTTGTGAGTTACTCACAACCTTAGCATTATTTAATTGTAATTTAGATGCATAAATCTAGACCATTGTCTAGAATTCCAAATTCAAATATGTTTCAATCAGATCTTCTTCCACCTCTGTTCCAGCTTTTGTCAGTGTAGTGTCTTTTTTCTTGATGGGCATGTCATATTTTTTGGAGAGAAAAGAATGCAGGCAGAGGTAGAACTCCTTTTCTGAAAGACTTTTCCCCCCTGTTTCCAACTCATGTTTCTCAGTAGCAAGTTGTAGGTAAAGATGTAGTTTCTGAGACGAGGGTCTGGAAAGCATTAACATTTAGTTCCGAGAAAAAGCTATCGTTTGAAATTAAGTGCTAGCAGTAGAGTGATTTGAGTCTTCTCAGGATTGTGTCAAAATTCCTCATTGCAGAGGAATTCACTTTGTTTTGGGGAAACCTATAATATTTGCAGTGATCTAGTCTTCCAACAATTCTGAGAAAAAATAGTTAGTTATTTTCAGTTTCTGTCTTTATTTTTCTGCCATTTTTATTATTTGAGTTTCCATAAATTCTCTGGAATAGGAGAGGTAAGTAAGAGAAGGAACCCACAGACATTGCCATCCAGAAGCAGGAAAATACAGAATGCTGATTCATCAACATTATCAAATTTGCATTTAAAATTAAAATTTCAAACTTAGCATTTACGAAGCTATATATACAGGAAAGAGGACAGCAGAGAATTTTATGGTGGCACCATCTGCTTAAACCTGCTTGACTAAAGGTCTCAGTATGAAAGTGGAGAATGATTCCCTTGAGTTAGATGTTCCTCAGACAAAGCCTTCAACATGTTGATGACAGCACCTCATTTTGTGCATTCACTTCAAATTGACAAAAAACCCCCACACTTTCTTTACTAGAGTAAGTATGATAGCTCGGGATCTACTGCTAATAGGATGACAGGGTGAATTTGAGCCTCTTTTTCAGGGTAGACTACTTTTTCAACTTGCAATTTAAAAAAATGGTGGGGGGGGGATGTTTACGCATGTGTTTTGGAACATCAGCAATACAATCAGGTAACAGAGCAGATCCCAAGGACGGAGTGTGTTTTGGTAGATGAAAAAGGAAGATAGCAAAAAGAAGAAATACTATTTTTGGTGTAGTGTTTCTTCACCAACTGAACTTGGTGTGATCTCATAACTTTCGTGGGATTTCCTACACACCCAGTCTCCATGTTAATTCATCTTGTTGCAAAATGGAGCTTGCACCTGAAGGTTTGCCTATGTAAATGGTTGAGTCTGGAAAATGGTTCTGATTCTTTTTTTTTTTAAAAAACAGTAACTTGTTATCAAAATACACAACAATATCAGAGTGGTTTTAGGGTAAATGGTGCTTTTTGCTTCCTAAAAGGGATCACACTAACAGGATAAATTTGTCTTGAATTTATTCTGTCAGCTTCTTGTCTGGGTTTTTTTTTTCCAGTTTTGTCCTTTATATTCTGCATTGGTTATTATATGGAATATTAATCAGAAGTAACACCTGAAATGCAAGCCTATATGTTCTGTTATAAAGTGAAGTACCCAAACAGCACTGTACGCTACAAGGCTATTGGTGGCTTTGCCATATTCCAGAGGGGCAATAACAAACCCAGAAAAAAATCATTGGGATGCTAAATTTTTATTCTAATGTCTGTCATTTTAGTCTGCAAATATAAATATTTAGAATAAAGAAACTCACAGCAGGTTCAGCAGTTTGCACTAATGGGAGTAAGTGCAACAGCTGTGGTGGGAAAATCTTTCTGTGTCCTGATTTTGTTCTCCAAAAGGGAATCTCCAGCTACTAGGAATGTATGCTATAAATAAAGAATAGCAGAACATCTAATCTAAGCCTCCTTAGAGCCGAAAATTCTTTGAGAGTTCTTAGAGGTTAATATTGTATTTTAGGACACAGAAGCAAAGCACTGTAGTTCACTAACTTCCTCATTTTTTGAATGTTGAAAGCAAAGCAGAAAAGATAAGCATGAGAAGGCACTGCCAAGTGGTGCTGAAGAAAAAGTAGCAATGATCTTGGCGACCGCTGAACATTCAGTTCTGTTAAAAGGCAACACATTTGCAATGGAGAGCTGTACTATTCTTCTGGAGATGCTTCTGGGGACTCTCACTTCTGCATCATCTGCATCATCATCAACTTCCTTCTGCCTTCTGAGGACTCATGACCATGAAGGACAGAGGATATGACTGAACGACTACAGGGGAGTGCTTCTACCTTGTTGTCACAGCTCTAATCAACAACGTGCTGAGGGAATATAGAAAGTGCAAATTATATCAAGTGCAATTTTCTTTCAGAGAGCCTGATCCCATGACCTAAAGACCTCCCTCATTCTGCTGGCAGTGCTCTTTCCAATGCTGCCCAGGATGGTGTTGGCCTTTGCTGCAAGGGCACATTGCTGGCTCACATTCACCTTGTCCACCAGGACCCCCAGGTCCTTTTCTGCAAAGCTGCTTTCCAGCGGTCGTCCCCCAGCATGTACTGGTACGTGGGGTTGTTCCTTCCCAGGTGCAGGACTTTGCACCTTTGTTGAACTTCATGAGGTTCATGTCTGCCTATTTCTTCAACCCATTGAGGTCCTCTGAATGGCAGCACAACCACTCGGTGTTCCAACCACTCCTCCCCATCTTGTAACATCTGCAAACTTGCTGAGCGTCCACTCTCTGCTGTCATCCAGGTCTTTAATGAAGAAGTTAAAGAGTATTGGCCCCAGTATTGACCCCTGAGATATATCACTACGGACTGGCCCCCAGCTGGAGTCCATGCTGCTGACCACAACCCTATGAGCCTGGCAGTTCAGCTAATTTTCAGTACACCTCACCATACACTTATTTAGTCTGTACTTCATCAGTTT